GTGAGGAATGTGCATCCAGCAGTTAGCACAGTTCTCATTATACCTATGATAGTTGCTGCTTTAAGATGTGACAAGCAGAAGTGTACTGTAGTTCTTCGTGGATAATTGGAAGAATGATCAGTGTTTTATATAGATCCCTGACTATAAAGGTAAAATGCCTGTTCAACATGTTTTATGAATATACCAAGCCATCTTCTACTTTAAGCAATACAAGCTTCCATTTCAGTGAGCTACTTGCTGTAAGCAGGGTTACTTCATTATAGTTTTCATAGCTAATCCAAACTGCACTCTCTCTATTGATTTAATATGTAGTCCTTTCAATATTTTAGAAATGTGTAACTGGTTACAAATAATTGAAATGAAAAAGAAGACTTTGAGTTGGTACAAGAAACTAGCCCCATTATGACTTGAGGTAGAGTCGTACAGTCATTTTACAAATATTCACTTACAAAGTTTCACACAAGAAAAAGTGTCCATTGTAAGGATACTGGAGATGTTCCAATTATAACCTGTTACAAATCAGAATATTCTTTTACGGACCTATTTAGTGTCTTTTGAATATATAACAGCAAACATCATAGCTTCTGTTTTGTAAGCACAACTTAACTGAATAATTTGCCCTGGATTTGTTTACATTTTGCCAGGGTACTTGAACAGGATATAATGTAAATATAACCCATCCAACAAACTCTAAAGGTAATGCTTCCACTCTAGCCTGCTAAAACTTGTTTTTCTCTCTGTGGTACTCTGGAAATAGTATACTGTTTAACAACTCTTAAAAGCAACTTGACTTTCTTTTGGGGTGGAAGGGAACTGTATCTACTGAACATAACACTGGACTAGTGCCTGATCTCATTCCAGTTGTATTTAAGTTAGTATGTTGCTAAGCCTACTGGATATGCAAGGTTAGAAAATTTAGGTACATGGTCATGAGAATGCCACAGTAGCAAAATGGCTGAAGACAACTCTAAAAATAAACTATTAGTGAGTAATGCTGAACTCCACACACAAGTTTCTTTTCTATTGCCAACAAGAATACTGTTACTTACCACTAGTATAATTTCAGAAGTTGTTATTCTTTTCACAATCCTCTTCTTTGGAGATAACTTATCATTAATAACCTTCCTGTATAATACTCCAAAATGAGAAGCATTCTAAGAAGCATTTTAAGAGCTTACTCATTACTTTTAAGCAGTAAGACATTTTACAGACAAACTATATTTTCAAGCAATTTAATTAATTTGAATCTGACAGACTTGGTTTTTACAATCTACCATGAATACAGTATCAGTTGTGAAAGAAACAATTTTTCAATTACCCTTATATCAGTAAAAGATAAACTAATGCATGTAATGGCTTCCTTTTTTATACAAGCAAAACCTTTTATTTTAAAAAATATATATATTTTAAAGCCCAGATTTGATGACATTGTAAACTCATAGGAGCAAACCCCCCTGAAATGTTAATTCAGATATTCTTGCATTGCAGCTTTGAAATGGCTTGCACTTTCTTTGAAACCAACTTAGCTACTTGTTGGGGGGTTTTTTTTACTCCAAAGGGCTCTCCAACTTCTATGCTTGGTAGGTATTTCATATTATAGTGCTGAAAATATTACGCATGAACTTGTTCCAAAATCATTTTAGTTCCACTCTTATCGATTTGAGTCATCTTATGATATGCTAGTTCTAGTCTCAACTTGCTGTGCAATAAGTGTTGTGGTATATGAACCTTTTGTATGCAGAACACTTTTCTTTAAAGTTTGCTTTTGATAAAAAAAAAAAAATACGCCTGTTTTTCAGTACAATGCCAAAAGAAATTTTTGAATTTAGAATGGCAGCAGTGGGGAAGAGAAAGTGCCACACATTCCAAATAACTCATAAAATGGGCTTGGCTCAGCTCAACTAGCTTCATTTGAGAAATGGTAAGCTGTCTCAGACCATCTGTGCATACCCACAGTAAATTAGTGGAACTACTGTAATGCTGAAAGTCAGTGGGTTGAAGTTGCTTTGTATAAACCACCTAGTAATTTTAACTTCCATGTTTCACAGTAAAGTGACTCTGGTCAAGTATGAGATGCATTCTTATAGCAATCCCCAATTGTAACTAAACTAATATGCCTTTCATTTTTATAGCTGATGGAGCAGCCGCAATTAAATCAGTTAATAATTAAGAAAAGGAAATGTGTTACAAGTCTAAAGTTCTAATTCTCTTCTCATTGGGAATGGCACCACCCATTCAGAATATGTTGTATAATAACAAAGCTATAAAAATAGAGCTCAATTACCCAGGGACTTACAGGAAAAAATAGCACATAATTAAGACATGTATTGAAAAACAGACTAGCTAGTATAGCACTGATGGGGGTTTTTTTGTTTGTTTTTTAATATCCAACAGTTGTTAACCAGCATTTCTGAACAGATAAGGCTTCCAGAAGCACATAATGTGACAGTCATGTTGGTAAAGGGACCAGTTAGTGCTGCTTTCTTCTAAATGAGCAACCTGTAAAGAAAACATAAGGATATCAAAGTGGGTAGTCAAGTCATTAAAATAGACAGCATTAGAACATTTAATTGCTCTGGCAATTTGAGTTGTTGAATTAACATCACAAAGGGATTCATATTTTGTCACTTAACGTTCAATACACTTAGTCTCCACTCTGAATTCTTATCTAATTTTCATGGCACGATTATAGTTTATACCTGATCTTATAACAAGAAGACTTACTAGCACAATCGAAACTTAAGTTTCACTACACATGTTTTGAAGATTAGCTCTTTTGCTCTTGTAGGATCACAAGCCCTCAAATAAAGTAACTTTTCTGGCAAGGTGGGTTAGTCTGCAGCCTAGCCTGCCTTAGTCTCATTAATGTAGACTGTTGTGTGTATACATGTACATACACATCCACCATATCCTTAGTCACAAATGAACTTCTGGGATCATGCTTTTATTTGAAAAGAGATAAATATAACCCAGATGCATCTTTTACATCTTAGCTGCATAGAGGTACTTTAATAGTAAGGAGTTCACACTGTTATTCACATAACTCAACCAATAATTTGCTCATGTGTAATTTGTCAAACACAAGACTTATTCAGATGGAATGATGCTCAGAAAATTGTTTTCTGGTACGACTTCAAGTTGAAGGCCACCCCAGACTGGAATGGTGCCTGGCATGCCTAATATAACATGTACCCACTGTTGATACTGTGGGTTATATAGCTAAGCAACTTAAAACCTCATACCCTTGAGCTCAGAAGTCAATAGGCCAAGCTTTCTATTACTGTCTAAAAGTAAGTACAGATCAAGGGGACAGAAAATAACTGAAATGTGCATGTTGGTTGCTTCACTGCCTGTCACCAGCACACAATCCTTTTATATTGGGGAAGACAAGTAGAATGCTGTATTGCAATGGTCTCTGCAGCTTATCCAAAGTCAGCTTTCCCCAAACATACATTCAAGTGCTAAAGGATGTGAAAGATAAGTTATTCATTTTCAGTCTTTCATTGTTGTTGTTTTTAAAGCAAAGACTGGAACTTTTAATGTTCATCAAACTTAGTAATGCATGGCCTTTAAGGGAAGGAATGTTAAAGCCTGAATGTTAAATCTTCCTTTTACCTTCTGTAAGCCTGGCCTTTCCTCCTGTAGGCTGGCACAAGACAGTTGAGCATCCTACACACAGAACCACTGTCTGGGCGTGACTGAACACTGTGGTGATCTTGTAGCAGCCTAAAAGACAGCAACATTACAGGTGTAAGTTTTTCTTACTGTACTGTACCTTGATTAAATGCACAAAACTGCACTTGTCATTTTGATAAACTTGAGTATTTTGCAAGTAAGTTGTTCTCTTCTGTTTTGCTTGTAACTGATTAGGGAAAATAAGTGAAGTAACAGTCTTCACTTGTGGACACCTTTAATCACTGCTCATATCTTGTACCTGATACTGTAGTAGTAAAAAATAGTCAATACACTTTTTCTTGTACTAGTTTAACAATTTCAGCTAAGGATGCAATTTCTTTTAACCATCATTAGATATACTTCTGTAGCATACAAAAAGCACAAACCATGCACGAGGACTCTACTGTGCAAGACACTTGAACTCTGACCATACATCACTACAACCCCCAAATGTGGATGCAATTATACAGGTTTAGAAAGATGAATATATTAGCATAGTTTATTTGAGAAGTCTATCCTATATCACTATGACTACACTTATGCAAACAGTTGGACTAGTATTTCTTAATCATTATGTTCTAATAATGAAAAATGTGTGTAGACCAGCTCTTATCAGAATACCTGCACTTAAGGAACAACTTGTCACTCAAGCTATTTATATTCAAATTTAATGCAAATATTATTTCACTCTAACAACATGCAAGAAAAAGTCACAGCCATTGTGAAGGGTGATATAGCTCTTGTGCCTGTCTTCATGACAGAACAAACTAAAAGCCTGATCTTTCCAATACAAGTGCCTAGAAGGGAAAACTTACATAACCCCATCCCATTTTCTTCCTTGACCCCACAATCCTTGTACCACACTGAGGTACAATTATAGTGAACCTTTGCATATAAAAGCCATGAGTATAAATAGAGACATAGGAAGACAAGGTTCTTTGGGTGAATCTGATTTCTTTTATTAGACCAGCTTAAATAGTTGGAGAACAATTTTTAAGCAAGCTTGTGGTTCAAAAATCCTTTTTCAGGCTAAGGAAGTTTCAGCAGTTGATGTGTAAATAGAGATATCACACCCCTGAACACTTACCTGGACACTTCACATCCATGAAATAGGAATTCGGGCTCTGGACCAACCGTTTCTTTTTGTGTTTCTTCTTTTCCTCCTCCAAGGAGGGGTGCACCAGATCTCTAGCCAGCTAGGGCAGGAGAGCAAAAACACACACCAAGCATTAGACCAGCCCAGTCCCGTGGGTTGGATGAGGACGTTCCGGCCCCGCTGTGCTGCTTTGTTCTCAGTGAGCAAAGGCAGCTTGAGGCACCAAGCTGAAGCTGCTACGTCCAGCCCTGCGCGGGGGAGGCGTTGGGACCGCATTCACATTTTTAAATCCTTTTTCCTCAGGCTGCCAACGTTGCATTTTATGTTAACGAAGTACAGCGAGAGCCCCCCCCCGCCTGTCCGCCCTCGCCACCTCATCCTACGAGGGGACCCGCGGCGGTGCCGAATGCAGCCGCGGGGCCGGGCGTGCTGCCGCACCGCCCCCGGACGGGAGCAACCGTCTCGCACCACCTGGGCCAGAGCGGACATCGCTGCTCCCCGGGAACAGCTGCGGCCGCGACCACCTCTGCACGGCCCAACGCAGCCGTCTTC